TACTTATTTACATTGCTCAAGGCTTCGTTCAAAAAGGCGGTATTTTACTTTAGTCCTATATTTTTTTGTAACGAGAAGCGTAGTTCAGAAATAAGGCTTGTTTTTATTTCTATTAAAATTTTGCAGGATGGATTTCCCAGAAAATCATGAAAAGTCTAAATTTTTTAAATTATATTTCTAAACGAAACATGCGACACTGTTTGCTACGTTCCCTAGCGGCATTTACGTGAACTAAATTCAAATTTGTAAATGTCAAACGTTTTCAACGGGTGAATTTGTGATACCAATTGTGTATCAAGGATACAATTGCTAAAGTTTGTTAAAAATTGCGTGATTTTATGACCAAGACGTGAGGTTAATCGCTTTAATGGTGTGATTTGTGTTTATTTGTGTATTCTTTGCGTGAATTCTAAGATGGATCCCTTCACTCAGGTAGGTTTCGTGTTTACTTGAATTAACGGCTATGTTTTAATAAAGATCAATGATAAACTATTGATTATTACTTCTGAATTCTTGTTTTAGCGTATGTTGGAGAGGGCAAGAGCTAGGCAGGAGAAAATTGACCAAAAACTTGCAAGTTCCGGTCAAGCAGTTCCAAAACGAAAACCTTTAACCCAGAACGCCTCTAACTTGAAATCGGAGAGTTCGCCTGTGAAATCCCCTGCCAGAGCCTCAAAAGACAGTGTAATATCGGATAGTGTATTATCGCCTAAAAAGAGTATAAAAGAACCTGTAACTCGATCGCCTAAGCGTAGTATCCAAAAAAACGACAGCACTTCTGTTGCGTCTCCACAAAAGGGTCGCAGTGACTTTATAGTGACCAAAAAGGAGTTTAAAAGCCCGAGAGGCAGTAAGAATAGCCGACGAGGGTCTGACGTATCTGTAGAGATTAATATTATGCACAGGAATGACATCCAAATTGAAGTGCAAGTGGAGGAAAGAGATGCGCCTATGAACGTGTATGATGCAACTTGTGGTAGTGGGAATGGTGTAACTATTAAGGAAATTGAAGGTGAGTGGAACTGTAATAAATCAACTCCTCAGTAGAACAGACCTTTGTGCAAGACTGCTTATTCTCAGAACATTGTACATTTTGAACACCTAAGTGTTCTTAGCTATGAATCTACCTATGGTCAACCACAACAACAACAAACAACAGAAACAAAATAATACACAAAATTCTGAAAACTCCTTTAGCTAAGCCTTATTTTGAATAACGAGATTATATATTTGTTGTCTTTTCATTGTATTATCACATCGGACTCTGTTCTTTGGTTGAGTCGAAATCTTTGAAAAATACCCCCAATTAATGTTAACACAAATTCTTTTTATTTATTTTTCATTTAAAATGTAATACACAACAATGTTTCTAGCTGCATTTTAAACCACTAAGGTTCATAGTTATGCGAATGGTATCCACACAACACATATATTCAATTAGCTAATAGAAAATTTTGCTAATATTTACATAATTTCCATAAATAATCTATCAATAACCAAAACGAGCATACAGAAATTGGATAAATACATTTAAAAACAATCAAATTTATCGCAATTGATTAAGCTGTTTACCAAGCAATTTTTAAGTTTACTTTTTATATTAGTGGTTGATAAATAATGACGTAATTCTAGCAGTAACTCGTTTATTAGACGGGGTAGAAGGTAGGTAGAAGTTCTTTCACTATACATATTATTCGCGTGACTCGTCTGGAACCGGTTGCTAACCACCGCTGGCGTACACACCGGGTGATTTATCACTTGTTTATGATTGTTGGTAAAGAGGAGCGTTTTTAAAAACATATACTTGAATTAAAATAGAGCATGCTCACGTACACACAAACTAAATACACATGCTTAAACAACTTACAAATAAAAAGCTCATCCTTGTGGTGGTGGTGGTTGATGTTGTCATCGACACCACACTTGGTTCTGTTATAGTGTATTATCATTTCTGACTTTATTCCTTCTCCAGAATATTTTTTGCCATCATGGTACGTAGTTGATGTCAAGAGAACCACTTATTCTTCTTTGGGACCTATGATACCACCATATACAGTGTTCTTGAAACCTGAAAAGGTGCTATAATCTTCTCTGACCTTGGTAGTCGTAAAGACTAGCGAAAACAATCATAAGTAAACTGAAAAATAATATAACAAGTACTGTCGCTAGCGGGTACACCCATACTCACTTTATTCGTATGTCGTCTCCAAAGACCGCGTGCAAACTGGTTGTTTCGCGGTGTGCATATGCATTAACTATTGGTTAGAAGGTACCTAGAGCCCCGTGCCGCCAGGGCGCTCAGCAAAGTTAATCATCATACATAAATACTCTGTGGTATTTTTTACCCAGTAATTTGTTTAAAAATGCTTTGCATGGAATAGTAAATATTTTAGAAAATGTCAATGCAAATATTGAAAACATCTATGACTGTCTCGTACATGAAATCGTACTTAAAATTGTGGAATTGAGAAAACACAATATGAAAAAAAAAATACTGAATGAATTTTATTGCGAATTATGTGATTATTTTCATTTATACGCAATTATCCATTTATAAACGTGAATATATTGTTGCCTTAGGGCGAAAAAACAATAAGTAGCAAATGTCCAATATCAATTGAACTAGACTACATAGACTTAGTCCGTGAACCATCCAGAAACAGTCATCAGAGGCCAAGTTGTAAGTCAAATTTGCGACTCAGTGACTTTACGACTTATGGCGACGATATGTGTATTGGTTTCATTCAGTTTTTCTTTTTTTAATTTTCAAATAGTTTTTTATTAATTGGACAATTTATGGCGACGATATGTGTATTAGTTTCATTCAGTTTTTCTTTTTTTAATTTTGAAATAGTGTTTTATTAATTGCACAATTTTGAGTTACGACAATATTTGGTTTTGTGTGCCGACCCCTCAGACGTAAAGTATCGTATGTCGAAATTGCCAAGTTTACAGGGAAGCATTTTAAAGTTCTGAATTCACTGAAATGAACTTAACACGTGACTTTGGCAATTCTCAGTTTCATTCAGCAAAGCTCGTTACTCAGATAGAGTATTATAAAATCCTAGATATCGGTTAGATGATCTATGGTGATCACTCTTTCAGTGAATTCAGAACTTTAAAATGCTCCTTTGTAAACTTTGCAATTTCGACATATGATACTTTATGTAGGAGGGGTCATATGAATGACTATATATAAGACATTGTAACAGATTTACATACTTAATTGTACACGAATTCATTGGACCACATTAGTTTCCTAATGACGGATGCAATACTCAATGCTATTAAAAACAAACTTTGTAGCAACAAAGTCAATAATAAAATTAAAGTAAATAAAAAACGCAATAATAAAAGTCACAAGAAAACAAAATTGACTGAGTCACAACCAATTTATCAATGTAAACCACAAACAACTAGTTTCTTCAAATAAACAAACTCAATTTTGCAACAAATTACTCACTCATTAGATAATTCTTGTTATTACTCTAAGTTGTTAATTATTGTTTTTGTAAACTAATTTCTAAGTACCTAAACCAATTACTTGAATGAAGATTAAAACAAATTCAGTAAAGCTGAGAGCAGTCTTATTTCTGCAGACTTTGTCAAAGCTGTCCCTTTGTCAGTCATTTAAAAATTGTGAAATCCTACTATGGATAATAGTGGTGATTGTTTTGTGATTGCGTTTAAAGGTAATTTTTGCTGATAAAAGTGTGGTGGTAGATTCATCATATTTTATCATATTTTATTGTTTTTCTGGATACTATATAGATTATAGTTTTGTTTTAGTTTAAATATTTATTGTTACCACTATCCGGATTGTATTCATTGAAATTAATACTTTAAATTATGGAGAGAGTTTTTTTTTGTTGTTATTTATGATCAGAGTTTGGGTACATGCTGGTTATGTTTACCTGAACTCAAGTAATATCCTAGAGTGGCTAACACCCTCCTCTGTTTTCGAGACAACATGCGATTATTGATATGTAGAGTGTCATATAAACCTTAATCGAATATTAATCGTAAATCTTATACTGTTGAGTAAAACTTTAGTTTCAGCAGTGAATTTGGTTATCAGTATATTAGAATAACACTGTGATCACCAATTCAGAAAAATCATACTGCAATGAGCAATGGTGTTTCTTTAAGTAATAAGCAGAGATCAGTATAGACGTAGTATATTTATTATAGAATAGTTATTACCTAAATTTTATAGAGTGGATATTACCTCTGTCTGAAATCTTGGAATGGTTAAAAATAAAAGGCGAAAAATCAAAATGAAGTAGTTAAATTCGACTTACAAATTATAAATATTTTGTTCTTCCTTTTCTAGAAAATTTTATTGATAGTTATGCGTTAAACATATATAACAATATACAATAGAAGTAATTCTGGTCATCCTGGAGGTATCCATTCTATGGTTCAATTCATATTGCGGCGGAATGGAATGGAAACGAATTTTTGTAACGATAACATGTTACATAGCATAATGAACTTTATATATATATATAACCAAAAATCACGTCTCACGTCTTCCGCGGAATTCGCGCGCATGCTCGAGAACGCCCGCGCATTCGCCGTCGGCCACGCCAGGCGAATGCGCGGGAAGTGGCGCGAAGGCAGGCGCAGTGTGACGTCAAAGGTCGACAAAATACTACAGCCTCAATACGTAGTCGCGAGAAAGCCGCGAATGATCGAGTATTCTAGGGACCGCGCAGCTAGGCGAAATTCACGCTTCCGTTCCTTCCGTTCCGCCGCTATGTAAATTGAGCCTATGTATTCACTTCCTTGACGTTTATTTCATTCTTTGATTATGACATATTCAGAGAAGTTTAAAACTTACCATAACATTGGGAGAGGCCTACATCTAATATCCTATATTTCATTAGAATTACTAAAGTAAACTTGGAACCATGTAATTTCCAGACGCCAAGCAGTCAAAGCCTGCTTTGGAGATGGATACGGAGAATAGACCTGAGCGAGCTGGTCTACGACAGAATGTCAAGTCTCGACTGGATAGACTGGGCAACTTATACTCAGGTGAGATCTTTATTTTTAAACATAGAAGCTTACATTTTACAGAAAAACCCTCTCTGCACTGACCTCTAATAATAGGATTATAACAGGAGAATGAAGAAAGCGTATGCCTTGTTACTTTTGGATCCTGGGATTGTGGTGCTAATGGCTTTTGGCAATCATATTTGATAGTTTCCTTCTGACAACAATATGATGAAAGTGCAAATCCAGTTTGGTCCCTTTAAGGTCACGTTTTGTCTTTTGTAAACACTTCAGATTTGTGGGTTTTGTAGAATCAGCTACCTATTACTCGCGGATTTCTGCTTGTGATTTCGGTACGGTGGGCAATGGATTTTATTATCCCGTGTTTCGCCGTCGTCACATGTTTTTATTATGTTGTTATAGTAAAGATAGGACGTTGTACCTTGTGTCTGTGTCTATGTCTGTTCTATCGCCTGTGCAATGATCAATGTTCTGAAGAACTGTTTGACATGATGCTAACAGCAACAATTTATCATCGCACCGCTCGCCACCGGCAGGGGGTCCATCCTCACACTCTGGAACCGCGTCGATCTCGTACTGTACGGTTTTAGAGGAGCTTCCTCACACGTACATTTAGGTTGCGGAATGAATTCCCTGTCGGGGTTTTCCCGCAGGAATACAGCATGGAGTTCTTCAAAAGGGGTATGAGAAGAGTCCTAAAGAGTTGACAACTCGCTCGTGACACCCCTGATGTTGCAGGCGTTCATAGATTTCCCCCCGTCAAAAAAATAAAAATAAAAAATGCTTTCGATCATGCGGGCCGTATGCTTGTTTGCTACCTAATATAAAAAAATACTGGGTTATACTTATTGGGAGCAAAGGTGGTAGGGGAAGGTGGAGGTGATCAAAAAGGTACTAACATTAAAAATAGGAAGTAGTCAGTTCAGAGATAATTCTCCGCAAATCCCATCTTAATAGGTTCGTTAGGCAATTCCCTTATGTAATGTGGATATGTAGTGGGTTGGTGAAAACCCAAAGCCTGAAGATGCAATACCAGTGGCGTAACGTCGATTTCTGTCGCCCGGGGCCAAACTTAAATTTGCTGCCCCATTATTTTCACGATTACAAAATTAGTTCGTTCGGGCAGGCTCGTTGTGTGTTTTTATGTTCGCCTGCCGTCGCCACTTTTGTGTTGTGTCGTCGCCATCATATCGTTGTCTCAAATAGCGGAATTTATTTTCTAATTTTAAGAAAAAAATTAATAATATTGACTACTTAGGGTTCGGTCGCGCTCACCGCCGCCCCCATTACTCTCTAGAACCCCTACGTTATGCCACTGTGCAGCACATTTCTAGCATTCACAACCCAGTGGTTGTGAACCATTGGGCGCCCGAGGTCGTCAAAGTAACGGTGCTTTAACGACCTCGGGGGCCCAACGGTTTGCACTACGAGTGTATGTGCGAGACTGTATGAGTCCCGGGTTCCCAGTAGGACCATTAGTTCTGTATTGTGAATTCCGTAGCTTTGGTAACTCATAGTATAGGAAATTCCCCAGTTTGAGATTGGGCAAGTGTAATTGCTGTGGGTGTCTGACACGTTATTACGTTTTTGTTATCATTTCACTTCTATGAAACGGTACACCCTATATGAAGCTGACTTGCTCGTATTATTCACATCCTATATAGATTACTTTGCAAAGCCCTTACACACTATTGGTTTCGATGGGAGTACAGACAACAGCGTTGGCCCTTTGAATAAACTTTTAGTCCATGGCTTTCATGCATAATTAATTTATTTGTGTAAACACAGTTGACACTTAGAAAGTATAGTATCAGAGCGCCTAGTGAAAAAAATCTGCATATAAACATAACGAAGAGATATTAGCTTACATACATTTAATATAATCATTAAAAGTTAACTATAAACTAGTTCATTTTATTGTTACAAACATTGTATGAGCTCGCAAATATCGATTTAATCAATATATTTTTTTTGTATAAGGTCCCTCTAATGCGTGCACATACACAAACTCGTGCTAAGCTTGCGCAAGTTCCTTGGCGATGAAACTCGACCGTGTAGACGGGCCTTTAGAGCACAATGATTCAAGCTGCGATACGATATCTGATATTGATAAAGGATGTCTCATGATTTGTTTCATTCAAGATTAAGGAATTTGTTTATTTGTTCTTGAACTTAATACGTAAATAGACTGCAGAAGGATTTTGTAAAATTTTGTATCGTTATAGGCGAGTTAAGTTTTGAAGTGTTACGATTCGACGTAAAATAGTCGTTAAGTGTAAACGATAATTTATAACTCATTTTTTGTAGACACTGATTCCTTTTTCAGTGTTCATGCGCAATATCGGGCAACTTATACTTAAAATATAATTTCTAGACCAAAGGTATTATACCTGTACCTTAGTTATAAAATAAATGTGTGTAATCAACAGTGATCGGAATTGAGGGAGTTAATCTGTCTAAAGTATAAACATTTTCTTAGTATGGACATACCCATTTCGTCATCAATAAAATGTCATTTTTACCGTTTATTTTCTAAACATTTCAAAATATGGTACGTTCTGTGGCTTAGTTAGCATAGCGTCAGGCACGGTTTGCTAGAAGACGTCGGTTCGAATCCGATCGAAGGAATTTTTTCTAAGTCTTCGATCTTTTTATTAATAATTATAACAAACTAGTGCAGTAATTTCACATAAAAAAAAATAAAAAATAAAAATTTCAAAATACAGGTTGTTTTACGTTAATTTTTTAAATTGCTAAAGTGTATAAATGCGTAAGTTCCTATAGAAACACAGTCATCTGTAAACATTGACTTACAAATAAATGGACGACGGGTGTAATACAAAAACCACGAAAAAAATGTCCCAAGTCAACCTATTCGAAATTTAAATTGTAATGTCATCGCAGTATCGCGCTGTCAGTCGAACAAATGAAGACTAAAGCGGAGTTTGGCGCTCTGTATACGATTTTAGCGCCTTGCAAGTGCGGACACTTTTTAGCGCGGACCCGACGTCTATATAATTGTAAGTCAATGTCCGTAAATATTATTTTTTGGGAAAGTAATTTACAGTAATTTGTAGCAAATACTTTAATAAGAAATAATAATTTGACGCCAATGTATTCAAATTTCAATAAATAATGCGCAATATTTTTTTTTTATATTAAACATAATCAGTTCCGAGAAATCTAGGGTATTGTAAAAGGGAACGTCCACGTTATTTTTTAGTTTAGCTAAATTAACTCCCTCAATTCCTATCACTGGTAATTAATTAATTATATACATATACAATTATTTCTAGCAATTCTGGTTTTGTGCCTACTGAAATGTTCACATTAACACGAGTTTAAAGCATTTAGTCGACGACACGTTGTACACGCATCGTTACCACAATAGAACACCCATTTTGATAATAAATTTTTATCATTTGCACGTGTTGCGCGACGCTGTAACTTGCCATGACTGAAAAACGAACAGATTTGACAAAAGCGGCCTCAACAACATGGCCACCATGAACTGTCAAAACTACCCGCCCTTGGAAAACCAGTTATTTAATAATCCATTTTATATTTCAGACAAGCCCAACCTGTCTTCACCTATCCACCGCACTGAGGGAGAGTTCTCCTCAGCCACCCCGCCGTCTGCCGACACGCCGCGGCCCGTACAGGAGCGCAAGCCCTGCGGGAAAAAGTTCGACCGACTGGCTGCTCTAGCTGATCAGATTAACAACTGGGAAGACGATCTTTCGCACCATAACTTTGTGAGTAACTGAAAATTACACACTATTATTTCGTAAAATAGATAAATAAATACACGTTTTTGTATACTCTGTATACTTTATATACCCTTTATAACATAGTATAATTATAAAATACCGTAATAATTCGTCCAGCCTTAGTATATTTCCCAAAAGATCATAACGGTTGAAAATCAAAAGGAGGTCCACGCTTGTGATACGAGACCGAACTTTAAGTAGTTTACTGTAAGGGACATAATCGGGTAAACAAAGGAACACCCATCCCACTGTCTGTCACTCCGTCAGTGGGCCAGCAGGCAATTACAATATGGGTTATAAAACAGTAGTGTTATATTTTCTTCATTCCAGCATTCAGAACCAACAAAGAAATCAACCAAGTCAACTGCAAGGAGTGATAAACTAGAAGATTCTACACTAGACGTCTCCATACACTCTTTTAAAGACATTAACAAGGTGCTGACCAGCTCTAAAACACAAGTACGTACTGATTAATGTGTATGTACACACCAGTTTATTTGGGCCCCAATTCTGCTAATTGAGAAATGATGTGAAGATTATATTGCAATTTTGGTATTTGTTATTTTACTAAAATTTCGTTTCAATGGCAGTTGAGTCTCAATAGAGTGTCAGTACAATGGTATTGATGGCATTAATTCATTCAATCATTGACGATCGATGTTATTATTATTATTATTATTATTATTAAGATGTTGCCCTAGTAAAACTACAAGGGAAATTAATATGCATTGCTTAATTTTTTACTGGTTTAAGCAGCAATTTAGTTTTCAAATTCATAAAAATATAAAACGACATCGACATACCATTTCTCTCTCACTCGCAATCGAAGAGCAGAATATCAAAAAATTGCAATGGCAGTTGAATAATAGTTCGATGGCTAGCCAACAAGCCACTTCTTTTAACTTTTAGCAGTCTACCAAACGTACATAATCCTCGAATTGACACTGTCGACACACAATTAAAATTAACAGACTTTGGACCCTGATCTCAAACTACAGAATCCTCTATTCTGTGAGTACCAGAGAACCGAATTCACTCCATAATTACTCCTCAGACTTATAAAATGATAAATAATTATTTGTAAGACGTTTTTACGCCTTAATTTTTTTTTAAATACTCGTTAATTAATTATAAATTTAATATTAAAAAATTGAGTAAGAGCAGTTGTGGCTCAATAGGCGAACAGTTGCTGTTAAAATGAGAAGTTCATGATTCAGATCCTAATAGCGCACAGTCAATAAGTATACACTTTTGTTCGAATATTGCCTTCAGTTAGTAGCAGTAGATCTCCTTGTGAAAGAGTACATCCTATTTCTGCCGCTACGCAGTAATGTCAGCATTACTGTGTTCCTGTTTTAAGGGTGCTGGTGAAATTACAGGCACATGGGACTTGTCAACTTATGTCCGGGCGAGTTACTCCGGGCGACGGGCGCAGTGGTGGTGCCCCTCAGACCTTTGCAATTTAAAGCTCTCAGTGGTACTGTAACTGTTAAAGACAGGCGTGTAGCTTGCCATCAGGCGCACGACTTGTTCGTCCCGTCACTTGATGTTATAAAATAAACTCTGTCAACGTGTAGCTTGATGTGCTACGGTCTGTACCTATTTCACTTCAATTTCTAAGTTAAGTACTTCTCGCTAACATCGAAGCTAAGTATCGTTGAAACCTGCAAGGCATTCTTTGCGATGCACGGTGATTCACGCTCCACACTAAGGCGGTCATAAATACGTAACTCCGAAATTATTATTATTTTTTTATTTTATTACGTTAAAATATGATTAGGTAAACGTAAATTAATAAAATTATACATTTTAAAAAATATTTGACAATATTTAGGTGTAAAAATGTCTCGCAGTAATTTTGTTTTTAGACGATGTATCTAAAACATTTTATACTGCGACTTTTAATGGTAAAACTGTGTAAATAATGATAATTTGTATTAACAATAACCACAAATGAATAAATTAAAACAATAAAAATACATAAAAAAGTTCATTTTACAAAATACAAACAAAACACAAATTATACCAAAATACATTAAATCTCAACAATATTAACTTTAAATACATAACAAGTCTAATACAGCTTTTGACAGTACACCTTTTTTTTTAACAGGTAACTTTCGTAGACCTGTTATGAAGGGATCTGAATGAAGAAGCAGCCTATTTACTAAATCTGTGTTGGTCACAATGCGACTCATTTTACGCGTATGATTTTTTCTAAAAGACTTGATGTATTTGTTAGTCGCTTCAGCTGCTTCTTCAGACAACTCTCCGATTGACAACAAACCGTAATCTATAACATTAGCACCATGAATTAGAACTTTGTGAACGGAAGCAGGCATGTTATACCACGGATACTCGGCAACTAACTGCCGAGCCGTCTCTAAAGCGAACTCTTCGAAGTTCGTCTTATTAATATTATATCCCGAATTTAAACATTGAAGGATGATCCAGCAACGATCTAGGAGATCCTTCTTGATCCCAGTAATTTCAGCGGAAATTTCTGAATTCGAGAAAAACCGCCTGGCTGTATTACCATCGTTTGATGTTCCGCTTCCGCCACTTTTAGGCTTATCCACTATAAGCCCTAATCTTTCTCTAAATTGAGTCTGAACATATGATTTTTTTGCAGCAACAAGCATTTTGTCATTAGCGGACCTAGCTTGCCATTTCCTAACATCTAACTTGTACGCGACATGAACAAAATATTCAAAAAAACGTATTAACGCGTGAAGAGGTGATAAACCAAATTCATATTTACTCTCATCGACTTCCTTATTTAAACATTCGTCAATTTTGTTCATTTCACTGGGCAAGGCGTTACAAATAAAACATTTTGATGAAGAAACACCACTAAGTGCATTACACACTTTACCATCTACCATAGTAAGTTGCAAACAATGAGTAATGCGATATTCGCGATCTTCTTCCTTGAAAACAGTAGGCTGCAAGTTCCTTATTTTATCTTTAAAATGAGCTTCTTCCTCAACTGACACTGCAGTCGATTCCTTCAAATATCGGAGGCGTATAGGACGACAGTATCGAGTTGATGAAGGACGAGGATTTTTCCACAAAACTACTGAATTTTCTTTGTTATCTGTTGTCAAAACAAGCTGAAGTGGCACATACGAAGTAACAAACAGGCTACTGTCTTCAAGAGTGGAGTCAGAAAAACACTGTTTATATTCTGAATGCCCTGTACTGCCATCGAAACCCCATTTCCCTATCAAAGATATCTTATCTAGAGACTCATTAGGTACACTATCCAAAACATCTTTTTGAGACTTGAGAATCCGATTAGCAGTATGATCTAATAAACTTTGAAGTTCGACTTCGGCGGATGATTCTGTAACAGTAATATCTGAAGGATAACAGTGTTTTTTAGATTCCACGACACTTTGGTAAGATGGGAAAATGGTTTTTGAAAACTTATTGTCTATAAATTTCTTTACTAATATATATTGATGTCGAGTTAACTGAGCTTCAACAATGAGCGATAAAACTTCGCTAGAATCGATTTCAGGACAAGACAAGCTATCGGACGCATTGAGCAATGACTGTACAAGAGAAGGGTCTTGGTTAGACAAACTAGCCAATCTTCTCCTTTTTGTACGTTTACTGGTGTCGTCAAAGTTAATTCTCGGACGGCCATGCGATGAAGAAGTTGATGGTTTAACTTCGTCAAAGCTCTGAGATACACGTAACTCAGTTCGCTGTACATCAATATTTTCAACGACATGCAGCCAATCTGAATATTTTTCTAAGAATTTAGATCTAGTACGATTCGACTTTGCCCAGTAGTGGGAAATTCGTTTACAAATATTCTTAATTTTAAGGCTTAAAGTCTCTAAATCAATATTTTCGATGTCGTCAGAAAGGGATGATGTTTCGGTCAAAGTGCTCAGGACGTGTTGCATTTTTTCATTTGGATTACCCACTTTAGAGTGCCAAATATCAAAAATTGTCATCCTCGATACAGAACATTTGAAAAATGTACCTAAAACAATATGAAAGCTGAACTTTAAAAAAAATTAAAAATTCAATACTATGGACATGCATACTTTGACACCCCTTTAAGCCAAGAAGAGGCAGCAAGATGCAAATGAAACTTATAGCTCTTAATAAGGACATACTCCTTATTCAAAAACCATATACCTCAGGTGCAGCTCAGCGCAGCCAAAAGTTGTAGGTCTAAAGGAAATTAAGTTATGCCAAAAATTTTCACCAAAAAACTGCCTTCAATAAAAAAATTATATAAAAAAAATATGCATAAAAAAAATTAAAAAAAATTGATAATAAAAGTACATACCATGCTCTTGGATCTCCATGCTTTCACAACACGTAAACACTTGATTTGGAATAGTGACACTCAAAAACAAAGTGATTAAGTTTCGATGACTCACACGTGGTGATAATTAGTCTCGCGATGCGCTCACTTCCGATGCACAAAAGTGAATGATAACGTAACCTAATTACATTGATATTTATAGTTTTTGGAAGCTTGTTAACTAGTTACTAACTTAGTGAGTTGATCTAACCGGGATAAGCCAATGATTTTTTTTGATTTATGGCCTATGGGGGAATCACAGTGCGATGGTTGTTCACAGTCTTCGAAAGTGTAGAATCCTTAACCTGCATGGGGCTAATGTGGCGGACTAAACCGCCTGCATGAGGAAGACCTGTGTTCGGAACTGTAGTGTATAATGATCTGGTGACGATAGTACCAAGAACCATATAGTCTACTTGAGGCCTATGGTTATACTGGTGTGTCCCACTTACCAAGGTCCTCTGCATGCTGCTTCGTCCCAATTAAGTAATCAAGTAAATTCATTCTTTCGCAGACATCAGTGAACTCTCGCACGTTCACAAAACCGTCGAACTTCACGAACCAGTGCACGAGGCTCGATAAGAAGATAGTAGCAGATCTGGTAAGTACCTAGAATGTAAGTTCGCATATTATGCCTATGTTTCCTGATTTCAGACTTGGAATTTGTATAAGAGGGTAACCTATCACAAAGTCGAAATTTTTTTGTCCGAAATAACGTTTGTTCGAATTTTCATTACACCGAAAATTACTAATTATTACACCGAATTATATCGAAACAGTTGTTCTTTCAGGATATATTGCATGTTTATCGCAAAGACACGATTAGGTTAGGTTAAGTTAGGTTTAAAAGAAAAAACATTTTGCTCTCAAAATTACTTTCGAGGTTATGAAATTTGACAAACGTTATTTCTGGAAAATGTCATTTCGAACTACTGATAGGTAACCGTATAAGAGAAGTTAGACTAAAATTTTCGCTTTTTGCCATGATATAGTTAATAGCGACATCTCTAGCCAGGGCTGGTAGTTATAAAGTTACCTAACTGGGTGACGAAATACTTTCATAGATAGCGCTACGGCTAAAAAGTCGTTGAAAAACCAAATACAAAGATCCGATAACAAGGACATAAAAAAATCGTGACGTCGATATCGATAATCGATAGTCTCTGCCACGGTAAGCTAGAAGACGTCGGTTCAAATCCGGCCCGATCGAATGAATTTTTTCTAAGTGTTCGATCTTTGTATTAATAATTATAACAAACTAGTGAAGTAATTTCATAAAAAAATATTGAATATCAATTCAATACAAATTTAATTTAAAAAAAATCAATTTCCCAACAATGGCACCTTTACGTCAAATCGCTGTAATTTTCTAAAATTACCTTTCATAGTTAACGCTGTATCGTCAAATCTAGAGATGTTACTTAACGGTATAAAATTATCATAAATTGGTTTCTTTACACTCTCTTATTAAAATCTGAATTCAAGGTCTGATATTATGAAGTCGTATAGGGAATGCTTATGTTGTCAGGAACAATTTCATTAAAATTTGCAGGTTTTTTAATTTTTTAAATTAGCGTCTTTTTTGTTTCTCAAAATGTAATTTTCAGATAAGTTAAATTTTTAATTACTAAATAAAATTGTTAAAATAAATTTGGAAGTCTCCATTAGCAGGGTAAGTTATTTTTTAATATTTCCATAAAATTCCAAAATCTTTCCTTGAAATAACGAAAGTCAATTTTAGAATATATATTTACAATTAAAAATAATGTATCCTATCGTCTTTCGCAACTAACCAAAAAGCTTCCTATGATTGGTACAATGGTGTGGTGTTGGTAATGTTATGAATAAATAGCTGTTATGAAGAAACATAAATAATTATGTCATCCAATGGTTTAATATCCTATATACTAAGTTATATTTTCACGGAACGAACCTATTATAAAACGGCAAAGTTGCATCATGTTGTTAAAGTAAATGAATTTATTAACCTATATTAAAATACAAAAACTGGCTCCGTGGCCGAACGGTTACCACCCTGGACTGTCACGCAGAGGTCCTGGTTTCGATTAGGAGAGATATTTGTATGGCCTACATTTGTTTCTTTCGTGAGTTTGGATGTAATTTGTGGTTGTACAAAGACAACCACTATTGCAATATGCGCATGCCACCCGCGTTACAGGCTTTCCCTAGTGCATGAGTGTGTGCATTATTATTATTATAAAAAAAATTAAATTACGTTCAACAAAAGTAATAATATAAGAGATAGAGAGCACCGCTGTTTAATAGTGTTTTCTGTTTGAAAAAAATATAATGGCCTGAATTTGCAAATCATTTTCCGTTCATTATGACCACTAAGTTGGAAAACTAATTTGTTAGGTGAGCCGGTGGAAATTGTGTTGTATGGATCTCTGTTACGTTTAATTGAGCTCTTTTTTATATAAAATGTAAGTACGCATTGGACCTCCATCTCACCTGATGGAAAGTGACGGTAAGGTCGACGATAGAGCATGCACACCTAAATAATGACTATTCACTCTCGCGTTTGAAATGCCCAAGTTATAACGTTCAGGGTACAAGTCTGCAGGCAGGGAATTTCATTCCATAGCCGTTCGCCATATATATGTGGAAACTTAATGCTTCGTGCGATTTTTGGAATATCCGCAACATAGGGGTGGAACCCATGCATGCACCCAGCCCCCCGGTGATGGAAAGGGGAATTCGGAATTAAATCGTGTAATTCCATCGCATATTTTCTGTGATATATTCTGTAAAATACCGATAAGCAGGCAACTTTACGGCGGTGTTCAAGGCTCTGCAGCTTCGTTTCCACTAATTCTGAGTCACCTAAAAGCCTCTTGACACGGTTGTCAATTGAGTCCAACGTCGCCAATTGCTATGTTCTCCTTATTGCTCGAGGGTATTCAGCTTTGATACTAGAAAGAAATACACGAACTGTACAGTAACTTCAATTGAACCTATTCTTAGAAATAACTTAATAGTAAGAAAATTTTCCGTTTGTGTTCCTATAGTCTAGATTATCAGCTGATTAATCAAGCGTATTAAAACGGTATGGAATAACTTGTCGAGAGTGCGTAATCGAATCCATGCTTAAAATATCATAAAATTTAATTGGTAAGCATCCCGCGCACGTTTACGACTTCTGGTAGGTCATAAACAGAGAAATCTGTGGAGTTAGACAATGTATAAGTTTGTCTGTACTGTAGATAAAATAATGCAGTAATTTGCACATTAATGAAAGAATTAAAGCTTAAACGATAAATAATAATAAAAAAAGAAAATATCATAAAAATAATGTTTTATGATCGTTGATAGTAGATAGATAGGAGTAGAGCTCCTTGTAAAAGAGTTCGTCCAAGGACGTACTGTCACTTTACCTGTTTGGTTCGTTTAGTTCCGGTTTTGCAGCGTAAGGGTGCTGGTGAAAATACAAGCACATGGGACTTTTCAACTTATGTCTCAGGTTGATGGGCGGAAATTCAGTGCATCTCAGATCTTGGCGATTTAAAGCTCTGAGTGGCATTGCAACTGTTATGGACAGGCGTCTCGCTTACCATCAGGTGCACGACTTGTTCGTCCCACCACTTTAAAAAATTACGCCATTAAGACATTTTATAACATAAGAAATATAAATGTATGAGTACTGCCGCCGTAGCATGGCTACGCGTGATAGTCGCAACGCGCGCAATAAAATTGAAATAAGCGGGCGCTATTGGCTGTCTCAATAAAATCTAATTAACATGCGTAGCCATGCTACGGTGGCTGCTATTATATATTTTTTAATTTACTTATGAGGAATGGGCATAGACCACCTCTCCCACGAGATACTGAAATTTAATATGTAAATTATTATTGATACAAAGATAACACAAAGAAACATTCCTACGATCCGACTGAACACATACGCACATTGAGGCAACAGATCCGGCTCATGACCACTCCGGTCGAAGAAATTGTTCTTTGTTCTTGTTTGATCTTTGCATTAACAAAATAGTAGAATATTTTCACAAGAAATAGATGAATATCATGGTAATAAATACATCATGATATTCAACAATATATTAAACATACAGGTTGTCCGATAAAGAATGGATAAGCCTGAAATGTCTTATGGCAGAGCTTATAACTGTTCCAAAAAAAAAAAATGTGTAAAGAAAAGTATATCCCAAGTAGTACCTAAAATATTTTAATTTTCTTTAAATTTAATTATTTTCACCTTATTTTACGTTTTTGTACACCACGACTACAAGTTAATCAATTCTTTCGGTATTTTGGTGTCATAATATTCTACATTAACTGTGCTATATAGATAGGCAAAAGATATATGACTAACTATTGCACTTTAATATTTTTTTTAAGTTTAATTCTTTTTTCAGTGCAAATTTGTTTTTTAACATATTTTAAGCGTCTTTGATATAAAAAAAATGTACCTTGGTGGCTAACTATTCTAAAATAATGTATGTTTGAAGTAGTTTTCAAAATGTATAATTCATAATTGTAGGTAATTTAAATAGAAAATTATTGCCAGTCATGTGCAAAAGGAGTAAATTTCACTAAAAACTATGTTATGTTTTCAAAATTGGACCATTCTTTGTCCTGAATTGTGCTTGACCATTGAGGTTTAATAAGAAAACAATATTTAACGACTTTTAACGGCTCTACACAAGTCTCAAAACAGCAAGTACAACGCGAAACTTAAATAGCCTTAACAATGTAACTTCGACTCCAGTTTTTTTGCCGATCTTATAAATACCCCTAAACTGTGGACTCCGTTTGACGAATAGCAAAATATTTATATAGAATAGCAAAAAAAAAGCTGTGTACAAAACCAGCACGTACAATGCAAAATTTCATTAGTCCTAACGGGATAATGCCGACTCCACAGTTCCTTTGGCCATCTAATCCCAGATTAATATCACGACTATCGCAACGAATTGTCGCGACGCCTGTCAATTTATGTCTCTATTTGCATATGATTAATTGACTGATTAACATACAAACTTGACCTGGTTTTCTGGCTAGACACAAGTAAGATAAATTTAAAACTTACCTATAACCTAGATTCAACTTAGCCATTCAATGTTGTTATACTTTTCCAGTTTTATTTATCCATGTTTAACTATTTATTTAAAAAAAGGTTTTATTTTAAAGGTGGCCGAACGGTTACCATGCCGGACTGCCACGCAGAGGTCCCAGGTTCGATTCCCGGGCCGGGTGAAATATTTGTGTGGCCTACATTTATTTCTCTCGTGAGTTTGTGTGTGTCCATGACACTCGCTTCTCAGGGTTTCCCTAGTGCGGGGCTATGTTCAGGGTGTGCGTTATTATTTATAAAAGCAAGAAACAGCCTATGTTTGGTCCCACTAGGGCACAGGGCTCCTCTCGCAAGGGAAGAGCTTGGGCTGTAGTTCTCATGCATTATTGAATTGTTTTGCAAATGTGTGCAGGTTTTATCACGATGTTTTCCTTCATCGAAAAGCTCACGGTAAATTTCAATTTTCACATGTGATTTCGGAAAAACTCAGGTACAAGCCCGGATTCAAACTACGCCCTCTGCTTGAGAGGTGGTAGGTCAAATATTAA